CAATGTCAAACAGCTTCTATACAACGAAAGGGGACCGTGACCATACAAACGGCCACATCATCCTTATGTTCATATCTTGTTCAAGAATCTTATTTCAGTTTTATTGGTAATTGTGTACAATTAACTAACTCCAATACTTCAATTCTTTTCCTATCGTTTAGTTCAGTGGTTCCCAAACTTTTCCTAGTCACGACGCCCTTTTTCAATTAACATTTTTCCATGGTGCCCTACCCTAAGTATGACTATTCGTAAGTAAGAGATAAAAATAAATAAAACTTGCGTATCTTCATTATTTTTTTTACTTTATTAACATCAAAATAATATTCAATAATTAATGTGATGAATGAGCCTGTAAATCACTGCACATTTTTTCAAATTTAAGCCTTTACAATATTTCGCGGCGCCCCTGTAAAGAGGCCGTGGCTCCACGGGGCGCCGCGGCGCACAGTTTGGTAATCATTGGTCTAATCAATTTCCAACTATTATTCAGCCACTAAGCAATCAGTTAGCCATTTGTTCCTTTATTCTATCTGTATCCTGGAGCCACATCTTTTTAACTACGCCGACCGACTTAACCTTTCCACTCACTCGTATCATAACCGCCCACTTGATATTTTTTTAAATAACTGCTCTCTTCGCTTAATACCCAATAAATGTTTCCTCTTGGCATCTAGGCAAATCCACGCCAGGTGACCGTTCTCCACGCAAACGGGATGATCACCTGCAAGCACATGGCCACATCGGTCGGTTGCCTCACACACTTCACAAACTGCGTCTGGCTGCTGGAATATCAGGCCCAAGCAATTACAACAATACAACTACCCCACCCGCCGAGTTGGCTAGCTTCGAGACCCACTATCATTCTAATGCGGTAGATCCGCACGTTTCAAATGCTACTTTGCTTTCTCCAGAACGGGGACTCAATCACTACCATCCTTATCATCTGGATCAGTCTATGGAACAGCCGCCAGTTCAACAGCGGCAAAGTCCATCATTGCCTTCTCCATCTGTTTCCGCCGTAGACCCGCATCACTCGCATTCCACACCCCTTGCCAGCTGGCTCACAAACAGCCGCCTCTGGATGAGCAATGCGGTAGAACAGCAAAACATCAGGCAGGGGGAAACCAGTCCCGTCAATATACCAAATAAATCGCAGACTCTCGACACACAAGTATATGCCACCATTTCTCTTTGCCTCTTTTTATATTTATGCTCTTTCCAGCATTCAGAACACCGGTTTTTCATTCTTATTTCCATCCATACAAATAATTTAGACGCTACACATTCGTTCAGAGCCAATTAAACAGCTTTACACGTATATCTCGTCAATACTATGAAATGTATTCACCCTATTTCGTTTAAGGTGATGAACGACTGGTAGTAGACTTTTCCCACAATGATATGAGT